ATACATGTTTAATTGCCTAAGGAATTTTAGTCACCATAATTAAGAGTCGTCGTAGGGTAGGTCAAATAATTGCTAATTAAAATGAGACTATCTCAATTAATAAATAATATTTGAAATATCTCATACTTCTAATATTTATTAATTTCCTTTTATTTAGGTCAAGAAAATCATTAATCAATTTAATTATCTCTTTATGAGTGTAACCCACCGTTTCAGATCTTTTAGACTTAACTTAGAAGTTGCCGCTGTAGGGTAAGTCAATTCTAAAATACATCTTAAAGATCCTATCTCTTTGGAAGCCAACCTGGTTATTATAATTAATGAATACCTCCGTAGGGAGGATGAAATCAAAGCGTCTTGGGGCCTCATTAATTACTCACGGTGTTGTACTAACGGTGGAGACCTATGAGTTATATTATCATATTACCCGCTCCCACTCATTATTTACAAATGATGTATTTCTTTAATAAAACAACTCTTGCTTTATACTTCTTAATGAATTTAAACAATTTAAGTCACTAAGTTTCATATAATTTTAAACAACTTTAAAACTATATTAAGCCATTTGTGACTATTTTAAAATTTAACATTTAAATTTATAAATTTCACATTTGACTTATTTAAATTTTGTAAAACCATTTACTAATTAATTAATTTAAATTTAATCTCATTAAATTTAACAACTTTAAATTTAATCTTATTAAATTTGATAACTTTGAATTTAATCTCATTAAACTCAATAATTTGGCACATTTAATTAATTTAATTTACTAAAATAGTTTTAGAATTAAAACATATATTTAATAGGCATGATGCATATCATACATATAAACTAGGTAGACACTTTTTATCCTAGATGACATATTAGATGCATGACAATATAATTATTATCAAACATAATAGATAAATAAATAAAGACATGCAAACGAAATAGAAAAACTTGACCGAGTTCCATAGACCTAAGAATTACAATCCCAAAATAATAAAAAAAATAAAATTACATCACAATGGGTCTTCTTGTAATTCTTCATCTTTATATCTCTTTTCCGATGGATCTAAAAAAATTGGGGTTGGGCTGTCTAAAGATAGCCATATTTGTGATCTGGGCCGGCTGGAAAAGCCAGCCCAGAATAACTAATTAGCCTCTGCCTCAGTAAAGGCAGAGCAGGCTCATTTGGGCTTGGGCCTTTATACCACAAGGTTCAATGGCCGTGCACCTGAAGGTGCAGTCACCTGCAGCAGCCTCAAGGTGGCTGCAGTTCTGCTATGGTCGACATTCAGCCATGGCAGTCGCCCCTTCACTGGCGACTGTCACCGGCGGCTGTATGGTCGCCGGTCATCCCCTTTTTTCAAATAGTTTGGAACTTTTCCAAAAATAAATAGTTGAAACTCTTCCATGATGATCCTCTTGCATTTGGAGAATAATAAATTACATATTGATTCCTATTTTACAATTGATCTAATCAAAATAAAATAGCAAAAACTAATTCCATGGAATCGGAAAAATTTATGATCAATCCATTCGCATAAAACATAACCATCACACAATAATTATATCATATGCATAAGTGCATACCCATTAAACATTCAAGAATTATCACATAATCAAATGTTAAATTAGCATGAAATAAATACCTCTCTAATTCCAATTGTTGGTTTCTCAAATCGGATCGTGGTATCGATCGAATCACATAAATCAAAATTTAATGCGATTATTATTTCATGTTAATTTAACTACAAAGATATTAAAGAGAAAAATGAGAATTTTACCGTCGTTCGATTAGGACGTAAATCTTGAACTCGTCCAACACCGTCTTATGCTCTTAAATTCTAAGAACACCACCGTTCTTTCTCAACGTATCTCCGGATTAACGTGAACTTGAACGTGTGGGTGTTCTAATGCATTTTTCAACACAAGAGATGGATGAATAGGGAGGCCACCTATAATTATCACTCACTTTTATCAAAAGTATGTGATAGCACTCAAGAGATTTTCTATGGTTTTACTTTTTGTTCTCCCGTTTCTCTCTTTTTCTTTTCTCTGGAAATCTCCCTTTTGTTTCTCTGAGGAAAAACAAAACAACAACTAATTCCTCTACAAGTAAATGTGCCGCTGCACTTTTTTTTTTCTTTTCCTCATGCTGAGAAAACGTGCAACAGCACGTTTCCTCCCATTCCTTTTTATTTTATTTTATTTTGAGTGAGGAAACCTACACTTCTTAGCAGCACGTTTACACACACATTAACGAGGGAGAGAAGAAAAAAAATGTGGAGAGTAAAAAAAAATCTCTCTTTTTATAAAAGTGGCTAAATTCATCCATATTAATTTAAAATAATTTAAAAATAATTTTAATATTAATTACTCGAATTAATTAATATATGTGTATTTAGAATTCTCAATTCTAAATTAATAATCATAACCCAATATGATATATTCAGTTCATATTAATCTTATGGAGCCGTTGAGGGGAACTATGGACATTATAATTTTAAGCTCCAATAATTTTGACAATTAATTAACACCTTAATTAATATATCAAAATTATCAATTCTAAATTACTCCACTACAAATTTGGAATTGCACTCTTAAAATTATAAAATAATTATATTCACGAAATTTGTGTTGTCCATTGATATAATCACTACATACGAATTAATCCTCCATAAACGGTTCATAATTAAAGCTAGGTATTTTCTGTTGACCTCTTTAATTATATTTTTCTCCATAAGTACCATTGATCCTCTAATGAATAATATATTTTATGATCCAATCATAAAATTGAGCGCTCTTATTATTCAAACCCCAAATCAACACTTATGGGCACCGTCCATCTACTTCATTATGAAGGAATGGATTTCATATTGTAAATTAATATTCCCGGCTATTTATTTTACTATGCTCCAAATACACCGAGACTTTGACACTATTCACATGTGTCATTACTCAATATGTCAGAGAACATAATATCATAAATATGAGTCTATTAATTACTCAGAATTAAGATTAATTCATATATGACCATCATTGATTAATATTAAATACTCTATTTAATAACAAAATTTATTAGAGATTCATAATTAATCGCGTTCCGGTCCTATATAACGATATTGCATAAAATGCTTTCATTCTAATAGCAACAATCTGATCGACGATCTTCTTGTGGCGACGCCCTAACATCTCGAACTGGAGAATGCCGTCGACAACTTGTCATCTCGGACGTCAATGATCTTTTCTCGCCATTATAGATTTTAGATCGTTGCGGCAAGGTTGCGCACTTCAATGAAATCACCGACGTAGCAGCCAACTGTAGTGGCCAGAGTCTGCCATTCCTGGGGAGAGAGTTATCATGAGGAGAGTGAGTGAGACAAGTGTGGAGAAGAGAGAGAGAGAGAGAGAGAGAGAGAGATCGAGAGTAGGAAAAGAGGGAAATGAGAAGAGAAGAGAGAGAAAGAGTGCAGATCGTGAAATGATGGAAGAAAGAGAGAAAGAAATGGACAGAGGAAAGAGAGAGAAGGAGAAAGAGGTAGAAAGAGGCGTACGTGAGAATGAAAAGAAAAAGAAAATCCTATAAAGAAAGGTAAAATTAGAAAAGAGCAATTGATCTCAAAATGAAAAATACATGTGCTATTAGTTACTAACTTTGATATATATGGGTGTGGTTTTAATAATTACTCATCTATTTGTTTATTAATGAGTATTATTATTTTAGCTCAAGATGTTAATACGATGGTTGTAATAAATTGACTAAAAAAATTAATGGTAATTAAGAAAATATGATTTTTATCACGCTACGTCATCAAATTTCTATATTGATAGTAATATCCGATAGAAACGTAACCATTAAAAACTCGTCTGCATATATATTTGTAAAATATGGTAATCAGTGCAATTTCTCTAGTTGTGGCATACAATGCTAGAGGCAAGATTTGAAATTTCGCTGAAATTTCTAAAATTTTGATGGAAATTTTAAAAATTTTGAGATTTTCAAATTTTTTTCCTATTATAATATTGATTTTGGAAAAATATCGAGAAAATTTTAGAAATTTAGTAAATAGCGGTCCAAATGTCAATATCAGTTTGCATATATGGTGCAATTAGAGCATAATTTTGAGAAATTTTGGGGAAATTTCAGAGAAATATGCGGGAAATTTTGGTGATTTCAAAAATCAAAATTTTAAAGATTTTTTTTAAAAAAAATTTGTTTTATAATATTAGTTTTTTTTTTTTTGCATTATTTCTTTTATCATCTAGTAAGGAGAGAGTGAAAAATATCAAGAATGCAAACATTTGATGAAGATAATATTTTCATGGGTTTTGAGTCGATGAATTTCGGTTCCAATTATTGTAACTCTTCCAATAAGACTCCTAATGTTCATTATTCATATAATCATAATTTTAAAAACTATGATGGATAGGAAATTTTCAATTATCCTCGTTTGAACATACCACTACAATCTCAGAAACGATTGAGAGAATTTACAGTTTCCAATTCATGGAAATACAATGGGAAGAGATCAACAAACCTACATGTAGCATGTTCATAACTATATTTAATATTATTTAAATAACATGCCTTGATACTTATATTGATTGAATCAAGCTGGAATCTCAACCACGTTTAAGACTCATAAAACTTTCTTTTAGCATTAAGAAATGTAATATTTATGAAATTTTTTTATGTAAAACTTGTTTATTTATGTATCTCTTTAATATTTATGCTATCAAAAAGTATTAAAATAATGTTTTAATGTAAATTTTTATAATTCCGTAAATTTTTTTTGATATTTCTACCGGGATGACATTTCTAAAAAATTTCTCATTCCCATTTTTTATACTCAAACAAAACCATCTTTGAAATTTGAAAACGCTTTTAAACAGATATTTCTTTTAAAATATTTTTTAAAAAATTAATTCAAGAAAACAAATTATGTTAATCAGGAGAAACATATGGGGCATATTCGTCAAGATGACAAAAAGGTGAGCAAGGCCATTTTAATTTGCAGATAGGGCACAAGATTCTTTTCCCCCTCGGGTTTGGGAATTTGGCCGCTCCCAAAATCTCAATAGAAACTCGTTCTTTCCCCTTCTCCTTCCTCCTGAAAACCCTAATCTCCGCCGCCGGTCGCCGCCGCTGTCGCCAAGATGTCGCACTTCGGGAGATCTGGTCCTCCGGACATCAGAGACACCTACTCTCTCCTCGTCCTCAACATCACTTTCCGTATTCACTCCTTCCTCTCTCTCTCTCTCTCTCATCCATTTCTGTTTCTCTCGCTTAACCCTTTTTCCGCAGTATTTTTCTGATGGTTAGGTTTCTTCCCCTTCACTAGGTACCACCGCAGATGATCTTTTCCCACTCTTCGACCGGTACGGCAAGGTCGTCGACGTCTTCATCCCCAGAGACAGAAGGTATGAACTTTTCGGAGTATTTTTTGCTTAATTGTTTTTCTATTGGGATAATTAGGGTTTTTGGTTGATATATATGTACATTTTTTTGTTCAATTTAGGACTGGTGAATCGCGAGGGTTCGCGTTTGTTCGGTACAAGTACGCGGACGAGGCACAGAAGGCCGTGGAAAAGCTGGATGGTTAGCTTTCTGTTCTTTAATTTCATGTTCAAATTGTTCCTTTTTTTATTTAAATTAATTTCGATTCTTAAGTTTGTTTATTTTTTGTGATTTTTTTAGGAAGAGTTGTAGATGGTAGAGAGATTATGGTTCAATTTGCCAAGTACGGCCCCAATGCCGAGCGAATGTAAGTTGAAAATGGAATTTCTTGTTGAGTTCTGATGTAAAGGCTGTGTCTTGATGGATTCTTTGTCCTAGGTTTTCTATAGTTGTCATACTAATTACTAATTGGCTGTTTTGTGTTCTGTTTTCTTTCGATTCTGCTTAATATGTAAGACCCCTTGATGTCCTTTTCGGTTTGATTCTTGTGTGCTGTGACATGGTTCCTCGTGATTAATGTTTGGACAGAAAGTCGAAATTTTGAATTCACTTATTTGTTGGGGGTTTAATTTCATGTTGTTGTTGTTGTTGTTTTTTTTTTTTTTTTTTTTTTTTT